ACACGCTCTTCATTTTTAATTTGTAATAAAAGTTGACAAAGTAATTTTTTAGAGAGAGAGTTTTTGCTATAGGGTGCGTGCACTCTCCAGTGAGACAATTAGAGAGAGACAGAAAGCAAGAAATCACCCCCAAGGGGGGGATGGCCATGCTGCAATCCCTTTTCCTCAAGTCTTCTCTTGTGATTTTGGGCATGCACACACATGCACATGCATGCAGCGGGAGTTTCAGGCCCTGGGTGCAGGATTCAAACAATAGTAGATTACGTGGGAGTCTAATGACGTACACCATCTGGTAGTCTTGGTTTATCTCTTTTTAAATTAATAATAATAATTATTATATAATTTGACCAGAGAGACAGAGAGAGAGAGGGAAAGCCAGATAGCAAGTGGTCAGGTTTAGGAACCACCACTGGCCATGTAGGAGTCCAGTACCACAGCCATCCTGCCACCTCCGGGCTGAAGGCTTACCTTAGGTTTTTGGTCCCTTCGGTGAGCACATGAACCTGATAGCAAAAATCTCTCTCTCTCAAAAAAAGACATTTTCTCATTTGGACTGTAGTCAGCACTTTAGTTTAACAATCTGTGCTTTATTGTGTTTGGGGTTTAGTTTCATTATACTTTTAAACTGAAATAATCTCTATAATTCCCATCCCAATCCAAGTTTAAATCCCAACATTTCAGGGAAGGCAAACACTAAATTATCTCAGTCTCTCGAGATCCCACTGTCAAACTTTGGAAGGAAATCTTTCAAGTTTCCCCCTACTGACATTTATATATTAATTACGTGCTTGCTCTAAGTGCCATTATAATTCGTTTCCTTTTGGGGGGTGATTTCTCACTGTCTCTCTGCCTTTCTGGTGAGCATATTCGCCTTTTGGCAAAAATAGCTCGCTTGCTCCCAAAACAAGACAAAACAAAACAAACATGATTTTTTCCTTCTCCCAGGCTCCCTCCTTCGGGCTCCTTGGTCTCCTCCCTCATTGCAGGAGCTGCTGGTTTTTCAGCTACTCTGGCACCGTCGTTTTAGCCCGGCCGGTTCTTTCCTCTCCCTCTCTGATTTCTTCTTTGCGCTCTTCAAACTTTGTTTCGGACGTCCGTGCGTCCCGGCGCTGGGAGCGGGTGGCCTGAGCTCGGGCTGGCGAAGCGGCGCGGGTGTCCCAGCCCCGGCGCGGTCGCTGCGGGTGTCTGGCTTCAGCGGCGTCATCCGCGCAGATCTGGGTCCTGTCCCTTCGCGTGAGGAGGCGGACAGTCCCTTTCTCCTCGTGCTCCAGGAGTCTGGCGTCGCCAGTGCCTCGCTCCGTCCGTTCGCGGAGATCGTTCGCGGAGGCGTCCCGAGTAGCTTCGCCCGCATTTTAAAAAGTTCCTCTCCTTCTTCCTCCAACGTTTCAATTTCCTGTTGAGGAAGAGAAATTACTGGCGCAAACTGGGGGTCGTGGTCGGACTCGGTACACGTCTCCTGGTCCCGAGTGTCCCTGGGGGCCGCCCCGGGGCGCTACGGGGGCTGCAAGGCCGGCTTGGCCGTCGCTGGGGCCCCGGCCGCGGTCGCGGGGCCCCCGTCCGCCGGCGCCCAGTCCTAACTTCTTCTCCGGGTCTGGAGTGAGCTGGGAAGCCGCCTCGTCGGGCTGGTCACCCCCCTGGCCGAATAAAGGCCGCCGAGAAAGCCCGCGTGGCCGCATCTTGGAGTCAGTGGGGGCAGGTCGGAGGGTCAGAGTGACGGACAGAGTTTGCAGCCCAAGAGCTCCCTCCGCCCAGCGTGCTCCTGCGAGGCCAGGGGGTGCAATCGCGATGGGCTGCCGGTCTGTTCCCGGTGGTGCCGTCAGCAGGGCTGTGCGCGGTGGCAGGGGTGTTTTCAGAGGTGACGTGTCGTCTGGGAAGGGTCCACCTAATTCGCCAGCGGGAATGTGGATCAGAGGGGCAGTTACAAGACCTGGGCGGACGCTGGGTGGTGGAGAGAGGCGGCGGCGCGCTGGGCGTGCCCGGAGCCCCGTGGGTGTACGCTGGGGCTCCAGGTGTACGCTGGGGCTCCAGGTGTACGCTGGGGCTCCAGGTGGACGCCGGGGCTCCTGGGTGGATCGAGGGCCCTGTGGTGGACGCGGGG